AGAGGTGGGCACAATCCGGATAATCTATCCGGATAACCGGATAAGTATCAATGAAATATTGTCCGAATTCAGACTCTTAACTCCCTTTCCTGACCAGCTTGCCGAAGTGGATGCACCCATTTGTTGAAGTGATGCTAACGCGTTTGTCGAAGTGGTCCTAACCCATTTGCCGAAGCGGTTCACATCATATTATTATTTGCCGAAGAGGTGCACTAACATAATACTCGGATTTTGCTAAAGCTACTCATTGCCCAGCCCTAGTGTAAAGCAAAGCGCACCGACACATCCACGGGCCTAGCCCAGATACATAGTCACAGTGCCGTGCAGACAGTAAAGACGACACACAGCTGAGGCCAGGTTACCATGGAAAGTTTTAGTTTTAGTAAGAGTTTTACGGCACTTGCAACACAATTACGTCATATAGGAGCCGAAAAATAAATTGTTTGTTGGTTGTTGCTTTGGGTTTTGTTTTGGTTTTTTTTGGGGGGGATTGGTAGAGGTTTTACGGTGCTCGCAACTGCATAAGGTCATATGAGCGCGAAAAGATTAGGTGTTACAAGAGAGTAACAAACATAAAAAAGAAGAAGTTTGATAGGAAAGAAGATTAGAGGTGTTACAAGGGAGTAACAAACATTTTTAAAAAGGAGGAGAGACCAGGACGATATACGTTCGATAGGAAAGAAAGAGCAAACCACACCCACTGACATCATTTTTTCATTTATTTTTTTTTTTCAAATTGAAGATAACATTTAAGCCCTGCGTGGACACAAAAAGTATTGTCCTGGATTGTCCTGGGGGTGTAAAGCAAAGCACACTGACACGTCCACGGGCCTAGCCGAGATACATAGTCACAGTGCCGGGCAGACAGCAGAGACGCCACACAGCTGGGCCTCTGAGGTAGCCAGGCTAACGGAAAGGAATAGAAGGCTCTGTTTATGGTACCCACACCAAACGAAGAGCTAAAGAAGTTTTCACTCCTCACGCTGTGGTTTGTTTTGTTTTAGTAAGAGTTTTACGGCGCTTGCAACACAATAAAGTCATATAAGAGCCGAAGATTAGAGGTGCTACAAGAGAGTAACAAACATAAACAAGAAGGAGGAGAGATAAAGACGACAGATGTTTGATTATAGGAAAGAAAGGGCAAACCACACCAGAGCACCCGCTAACCATCCACTATGGTACCCACCAAACGAAGAAGTAGTTTTCACTACTCATACAGTGGTTTAATTCCAACACAGGTCGTTGTTTCTCGCCTTGTTTCGATCACGTGAAGCTTTTTGACAATTTCCAAACAACACACGCCCTAAACCTAAACGGAAAAGAAAGACAGAAAAAGACACGAAGACAGACAGACTGACAGAAAGAAAAAAGAAAGAAAGACAGACAGAAACAAAGAAAGAAGGAAAAATAGAAAGAAAGAAAAACAGACAGACAGAAAGAAAGACAGACAGACAGAAAGAAAGCAAGGCCCAGAGAACAGGACAACCATTAGCCAGCTGAAGAAGACTAACAGCTTAATAATTCAAAATACATTGTTAGTAACAGTTTAATTTTACACCATGGCCAAAAAATTTCGCTCAAAAAAACCTCTCTTTCTTCTTTCTTCTTGTATCATTCTTGACATTTGTTTCCCTCTATCTCAGGCTCACACACACACACA